TAGCTCCGACCCCGAGCCCGGCTCCTTTTCACGGCAGGGGGCTGCCCCCCCTCTCCTGGGGGGGAGCAGTGGGGTCCCTTTGTTTTAGGGGGAATTCAGCTCCACAGTCTGTTTCCAGAAGCAGAAACTCTGTCATTTCCAGTTGTGTTGTGTTGGTGGCCAGTTTATTTCCATTTCTTCTCGTGTAGCCTTGTCTGAGCTCAAACAGCCGTGCTCCTTCCCCCAGTGTCCGTGCACAGCCAGCAAACCCTCCCGGCCCCGGTGCAGCTGCCCAGCCAAGCCCTGCGTGGCCCGTCTGCCGCGCCGGGGCCACCTCTGCCAGGGCCACCTCTGCCAGGGCCACCTCTGCCGGGGCCGCGACGCTTCCGCTGCAGAGCTCGTGCTGCTGCTGCCGGCGCCGAGGGCATCGCGCCCCGTGGCAGGGCACAGCGGTGCCGTCGGCTTTGCCACGCGACACGGGCTCCCTGCCAGCGCTCCCCGTCCTGCCGTGCCAGCCCGGCCCCTTCCCCTGGGCACAGCCGGACGCTGCCCAGCCTTCGCGCTCGAGGGTGCTGCTATTTCAGGTTGCTCTTGGACAGTCCCAGCGTCTGTGGGCAGCGTTTGTCTTTCTCATGGCTGCACCGTGCTGGTGCTAACAGGCACCTTGTGATTAAGCTCCTTCACCCAAGCCCTTCTCCTCCTTCCTTCCTCGGAGCAGAAGAGCCTGAAGCTGAGGCTCAAAATTCTTGTGAGGAGCCTGGGAGACCTCTCACTCTAACGCAGGGAAGGGAAGGGAGGAGAAATGAGGTTTGGAGGCTAATTCTGGCAGCATCAGGCATGAGAAAGATCAAAAACTCAGGGCAGGAGTACAAGAGAGGAGGGAAGCTGTTGCGTGCATGCTCCTGGAACCCCCTGACAGTCCTGGTTCATGCATACTGCACGTTATTTCTGTACCTACTTAAATTAAAACCAGCCTTGTCTTGTGGACGCTGACTGGAGCCAGGCAGTTCTTCTCCCCAGGGGAGAATCCAATTTTCACTCCATCTAGCTTGTGTCTTTGACCTGGAATGACTCTTCTTTTTATATTTAACAAACGCTCCCTCCCAGACTTGTACCGCACCGCGCTGCTCACGGCGCTGCCTGCGGCGTCACAGCCCAGTCCTGCTCCAAGGCAGGAACCCAGAGGCGGGCAGAGCCCAGGGGAGTTGGGGTCCCAGCCCCCCTCCGCACCCTCTGCGCCGGGGAGTTCGGGTCCAAAATGCCGAGGCAGAGCAGCGCAGCGGGGACCCCCCCACGGCAGCCTGCGCCTCTCACCTGCCCGCCCCGCAGCCCGGGCAGCAGCCGCCCTCGGGTCCCGCTCTTCCCTTTTCCCCGTTCTCTGACAGATCCCTCTCAGGCACAACCTGCTCCGGGGTCTGTCCCTCTCCCGGCCGGGCCGGGGCAGAGTGTGGCCCCAGGGCCTGGAGGCTGCGTGTCTTGATCAGTTCGTGTATTAATGAGTGCGTCACAATGCGGAGATGCCGCGTGTCTCTCATTTGCCACTAAAGGCGCAGCAGCTGCCTCCAGAGGCACTTTCCTTCCTGCAGTGCAGGTCTTGGTGCAGGACACGTCCTTGGTCCTGAGCCTCTCTTGGGGACCCGCCTGCCGGTCCTGTAAATAAAATCCATCAGAGGCTCAGGAGACACGGTGGGGTCCGGGCTGGGAGGAAGCTGAATGGGTTTGAAGTATCCGTTCACTTCTGCAGCCCTTAAATCCTCGCCGAGCTCTTTGGAGAGCGACTCGGGCCCCGCAGCCCCGCCGAGTGCCCCCCGCTGTGGGCAGCACCAGGCACCAGCCATGTTTTACTTCTAATTCACTGATCTCCGTGAGCCTCTGCTGTTCTGGGTGTCTCTCCAGCAAGAGGAGAGGTTTCTCCAGGGTTATATAATTCACGGAGGGCAAAGCTGGCCTGTTCTGAGCCACCTCCGTCACAGCTCTCAGCGCCCAGCACGGCAGTTAGTCACCGCTCCCCAGACATGACGTACGGCGCTGGCCCAGCACCCCTGCCCGCGCCCACGGCGGCTGCCGACCCGCTGCCCCAGGGGCTCTTTCTTCATCCTCTGACTCCACCGTTAATCAAGCCGAGATAGGCGAGTAAGTCCGTCAGTCATTCAAGACTGATGCAGGAAAGGACAGATATGTTAATAAGTGGAGCCCACTGTTTGTAGGTGTTGCACGCCAGATCCACGCAGGATATGGAGGAGGGAGCTGTAGCCTTCGGCTCTGGGTCCCGGGCCAGCCCGTGGTCCCCAGCCCCTGGTCCCCGCCGGCGCTGCCCTCCCCCAGGCCGGAGAGGACGGGCACGCTGCCATGCAGCCCGCACCGCGCGGGGAAGGGGCTTGGCTTTGATGTCCCCCACGCTGGGTTTTGGCTGCGCCGGTGGGGACGGAGGGGGACGGGCTGATCTTCCTCATCCCGAAGCACACGAGCGCGGCTCCCCCGGTGTGTTGGGTGGCAGCGAGTTCCTCTGAACCACAGCTCTGCGCAGACGACCTGAGGGAGAGCAGCAGCCAAGGGACACCCCACTTGTTAGCTGATGGAGTTGGACAAGCTCCCCACCTCTAAACTGTGCCCTGAGACCTTGTGCCTAGAGCCTCTCAGGGGAAGCCGGCCTTCTGCCGCCCGTTTTTTTTTTTTTAACGGCGAACTAAAAAATGCTTTCTTAAAGCAAAAAAATACTTTCTTAAAGCAAAGCCAGAGTGTATTCAGAATTTAATAGCACTCAGATTCCTAGAGCAGCGCCTTGACTGAGAAAGCAGCTGCATACCCAGGCTTCCAGGGCTCAGCTCACGTTGTACCAGCGAACTAAAGCCTCAGATTAAATGTACACCCGCTCGCAGAACATTGCTCTGGCAGGCAGGTCCCTCGCGCTGGCCCACTCCAGGTCTCCCTGCGCGGCTCCGGGCTCGCTTGCCTCCCCGGGTGCTTTCAGAGGGTCAGGGTCCCGTGTGAACCTTGTTGGAGGGATTCTTCGTTTCATTCCTAAGGAAGAAAACAAGCACTGTGCAAATAAAGCAGAAAGTCATTTTTAGGCCTTTGAATCCTGAAAAGCTGTTGCAGACTAATCCTCCTTGCACTTGCCCAGCTGCACTGCGGCACCAGGAGCTGGGGCTGGGTTGGGGTGGAAAAGCAATACGGGATGACTTGTTTTCTTATGAGCTGAATTCCAGCTTTGCACTCCAAATCCCCATTTTTATAGACTTTTCCGCTGAAGTCTGCTCCTGCCCGGGGCATGCCTGTGTAACCGCTCCTCTCTCTGCATTCCTTAGATTCTTCTTCCACTTGAGCCGCTGGACTGAAGAAGGGGTCTGAGGTCCCTGGTGGAGAAAAGGAGGCGAGGAGGAGGAGGAAGAGGTTTCCCTTGGACTCTAAGCCATCAAACCAGAAAACCAAACCATGTCACAGGTCATACAAAACCACGTGTTGCGTGTTGGACAGACCGTGTGCGTTTCCTCGCAGGAGGAAAGCAAGAGCTTGCACCCGGGGGGGTACCCGGGCTGCTCCGCGCTGCCCATGAAGTACGCCTACTACTCGACGGAGGGCTGGGCTGCCCCGTCCGCAGGGGTGGCCACCAACACGCGCCTGCTTCCCGCCCCAGGGCTGTACGGAGCCCACCCCGTGCTCGAGCGTGTGGCTGCTCACGCGCAGGGGAAGGGGCAGCAGGACCCCTCATCAGAGACACCCGCTGCCCCGTATCAGCTGAAGGAGGAGGGGGACACCGGCACGGACCTCGAGGCTCACGTGGTGTCTCCTACCTTGGACATATCAATAGAGAGTCTCAACCAGCTGATCCTAGAAATCGATCCGACCTTCCAGCCGCTCCCGTGCAAGCCGGCGAAGGATGTGGTTCAACCTCCTTCCCAGGGCGATGCTGCTGCCACCAGGAAACAAGGGCCGGAGGCAATAGGTGAGGCAAAAGGCCGGTGCTGCGGTGGAGCCAGCGCAGCTCAGCCCCGGTGAAAACCCTTTGCAAGAGGCAGAGTGACGGCGCGGGGCAGAGCGGCCGGCCGCACTCCAGCCCCAGCGGGCAGGATGGGGTCCTGTGCGCCTGGGGAGGGCTGGGGAGGGGCGTCGGTGACATCCCCCAGCGTCCCCAGTGGGACCAGCGTGGGGTGTGTCTGCTGACATCGGGCTTCACGTAAAGCAGCAGAACAAGGAGCGCATCCAGGCTCTGCCTCGCTCCCGTGCTGAGGTGGCCCCAGTCTGACCACTTCTGGCACGTCTCGCGTCCAGCTAGCTCAGCGGGATCCAAACCAGGCAGAACAGCCTTAATTCAACCTGATGCTTGTTTCTCTGTGTTTGGAGAAAACATTTCTTGTTAGAAATGGGGCTCGTAGCTCTCATCAAACGCCTGATCCAAGTTATTACCGTCAAGGGCTCGGGACAGGCGCTGACCTCTGGCTGCGATGGCCGGAGCTGCTCAGCCCCGCTCCACCACGGGCCGCGCAGCCTCTCCCAGGGTCATACTTGACCTGTGGAAGCACAAGGATTTGAAGCCAGATTTCCAAAGCCCTGGGCTAAGGTACCGATCGTTACACAACCATCCCATTTAAATGTTCCCAATCATTTTGCCAGGGAAATTCTTCTTCCAGGGCTTGTGCGCTCCTCCGGCAGCATACCTGGCATACACAAGGCAGAACATCAGCGGCACATACCAACCCCCTCTCCCTGCTCTCATGCCTGGGTGCCTTACGTGAACCCTTTTGCAACACTCCTCTGTCATCCCTGCGATCCGGGCTCTGCTGCGTGTGCTGCCGCGGAGCCAAACACTCTTGCCTGTGGCTCTTTCGCAGAGCGTTCGCCGTGCTGTGCAGGGGCAGCGCGTTGCACGCTGCCACAAGCATTCCGCTGCGCTGGGGGACACATCTGTGACGTGTTTAGGTGCCTGAAGATACAGCCCCACCGCTTCTGAAGAGCCTCGTGGCCTATCTGTGTCTTCAGACACAGAAATACCTGGAAAATCCATCCCTAGGCCTCTTTCCAGAGGAAGGTCAAATGAAAGGGTGTTAAAGCATGAGAAAAATTCTGTTCTCCCTGAGCCCTCGTGCAAACGTCTGCCCGAGGACCGCGGGGCTGGGCGGGGACGAGGCGCGTGTCTGCGATGCTCTGAGCTGCAGCCCGGAGGGTTGGGGGGTCCCGGCGCTCGAGCCGGGGAGCAGTTGAGCCCGAGTCAGGAGCAGAGCGAGCGCGCCGCGGGGCTTGGGCGATTCTGGAGCAGACGGCGCCCCTGCTGCTGCTGGGATGGAGGCGGGTGGCCTCGCAGATAAACCAGAGTAAGGGGCTGTTTGCTGCCCCTTTCGAGGCAGCTGTTGGGCTCTACAGCTCCTCGCCCCACGCCCGGCCCTGCGGCGGGGAGGTCACTTACTGTCCGAGAGGCAGGAGAGCGCCGGTGCAGACAGCGCGTTGTTCAGGCCACCGAACCTCGAGGGCGGGCTGCAGCCGGGTGGGGGGGTCTGCGTGACAGAGCTGGGGGGCACTTTGGCCAGCCCAGAGGACACGTCTCCTTGTTCCAGGCACCCGTTGACCAGCAGCACGGGGATGTCGGCTGCGGAGTTGAGGATGGAGGGGGGGCAGCTGCTGGCCTGGCCCTTCTGGGACAGCGAGGTGTTGACTTTGGCAGAGCAGCCTGCCCTGGGCTGGGGGGGACTCAGCCCAAAGGCTCCTCCAGAGTGAGACCTCGGGGAAGGTGGGCAGGGGCTGCCCAGGGGGCTGGCAGGGGACGGGCACTCAGCGGAGCAGCAGGCAGCGGCGTGAGCATCCCCGTCGTCGGTGTGGAGCGAGTGGGTGCTGCTGCAAGAGGGAGACAGAGAGCGGGAGGGGATCAGGGGGTTGTTTACCCGGGAGGTGACGCACAGCCCACCCCAGAGCCCCCGCCAGCCCCGCGGGGCATCCACTGCCAGCCTGGGGAAGGAGCTGTTGGACAGCGGGACTCGGGGAAACCGCCCCGTGCCCCTTCCATCCCCAGCATCGGCCCAAGATGGGGACGTTTACCTTCCGAGGATGTAGCTGGTGTCCGACCCGGGGCTCGTGGAGAGCAGGGAGACCCAGCTGCTCCTCTGCTGGGCCCTCACCATGTGCACGGGCTTCAGGAAATTGCCGAAGCCCGGGGAGGTGCCGAG